ATGACGACAGACAAAGTTGTAAAAAGTAACACATGTTGTCAAAGTGCGCGCGTGTTTCCTCTCGTGAGTTTGTGTGAAGGACAGAAGCGTGTTTGTCTCACTCTGCTGTCTCTGTCTTCGGGACATTAAACGGACGGATCGCTCTTGAAGCGGACATGGCAGCATGACGTAGCGCGGCAGATCACTGATGACGTCACACTGATGCTGATGAATCAGTCATCAATATTACTTGTAGATATTATCTTATCGCAGATATATTGGTGTTTACATGTTGTCTGATGAGTGAGAAGAAAGACAAGTGAAGAAATGTCAAACTCAGTCTGAGCTCATTAATAAACCGGAAGAGCAAAAGTTGATTTTAAACTCTTAGTTTGTATCTCGTTTACTAAAAACAACAATTTATCAATCTGAATCCAGTGAGTTTAGGTCATGTTTATATTAAAAATACTATCAGCTGAAATATTTAATATTCAGACTATATTAATAAGAATCAGCCTCAAACGTCCAGCATCTCTCTGCAGTATTTGATGTATTAACAGGAAATATATTTATTCTCGGACAGATTTACAAAACATTTTAGTGACCAGTGCTGAAATAAAAACTCATAAATATGAATTCAGACACAGAGGACATGAAGATTGTGAAACATTTTTACTGCGCTGATCATTTTAAATAATATTCTAATCTTCTTGGATTCTTTTCATCCAGCTGATACCGATAGAAACTAAAATACATACAGATTTAATATAGTTTCTTAAATATAATGCTTTGTCCCTCTGTTTATACTTTAGTTTTTCACAATTATATTTTATAGTTCAACTTAAATATAGAGATAAACATCAAACTGGTCAGATTTGTTTCTTGTTTGTAAATGGTTGAATGAAAAAAGGAGAATCCTTCTACTCAAACAATTTAAATCTTAACAATCTCAACAACAAAATGAATACGTTTTGATTTGAATATAAAAAATGTTAACAGAATTAAAAGATCAAATAAATGACCTTTGAACTTGTTTGTGTCTCCACTTCTCTTCAAGAAACTCAGATTTCAAAGTTATTGTTTAAAACCTCACAAGAAGAAACGTCTGAGGTCACAATTTATGACATAAAACAGTTTGATTTGATACGATCAAATCAAATGTCAATATAAGGAACATTATACAATAATAATAAATCTGGTTTTACAAACTGATTTCTATGCGTAAAAGTCAGAAACACAAAATAATGATCTGAATATGTAAATTGTTTAATATTTCGTTTTAGAATATAATGTTTTTAAAAGCTGAATCATCATAAATATCAAAGTAAACATTTATTTCTGTATTTATTGAGTTGTTAAACACAGCAGATGTTATCAGGGTGTCTTTGATGTTCTGTGTTTCTTTTTAATTCAGTGTGCAGGAAAACAACATAATTATTGATTAATTAAAGTGTGACATCAGAACTAATGATGATTCCTTTTTGGTTCCAGTGACTCACTCGCTGAAGAATTTCTACACTGGATCCTCTGGAGTCCCAAACTTCCCAGAGTTTGTGGTTGTTGGGCTGCTGGATGAAGTTGAGATTAGTCACTATGACAGTAACACCAGGAGAGAAGAACCCAGACAGGACTGGATGAGCAGAGTCACAGAGGATGATCCTCAGTACTGGAAGAGTGAGACTGAGATCCTTATGGGCCAACAGCAGGGCTTCAAAGTCAACATTGAAACAGCAAAACAACGCTTCAACCAAACTGGAGGTTTGTTTATGTTTCACACTTTTTGTTTGTATTTGCATCCTTTATGTTATTAGTACACAAACACACACACACACACACACACACACACACACACACACACACACACACACACACACAGATTAAACAGTCTGAGATCTTTTCTTGACTGAAACATGTTCTGCTTCCAGTTCCTAAATATAAGTATATAAACACAATGAATACTTTTCCGTGTTGTTCAGGATGAAGAAGATTTCCTCTCATCCTGATTAGAACTCCAGCTTAGATTAGATGAGCTTCACTTGAGCTCAGGGAGTCGAGTTGAGGTTCCTCACTGAGACGACTTCTTCCTCTTGTCTGTTTGAAATGGTGATGAATGAAATACTGCTCAGTGTTGTTCACACTGAAGAAGCACTTCCAAGGTTTCATCAGCCTCTTTGACATTTTACAGTGTGAACAATTCATGGATTCATTAGAAATAGTTATTACATCATCTGCAAAGACAAGAATAATTAGTTTGAGCCCAAAATCTGGAGTATGATACAGATGAGAGTTAATGAACTAAAGTGGACTGCAGTGAGTTTAGAACAAACATTCAGGATATTTAGTGTTGAAACATTGAATCAATTAGTCGATGAACAGAAAATGAATCAACATGAATGTTGATAATCAGATGATGACTGAAGTCTTTTATCAAGCAAATATGTTTCTCTCTCTCTCTCTCTCTCCCTCTCTCTCTCTCTCTCTCTCTCTCTCTCTCTCAGGTGTCCACATTTACCAGAACATGTACGGCTGTGAATGGGATGATGAGACCAATGAGGTCAAGGGTTATTATCAGTTTGGTTATGATGGAGAAGACTTCATATCATTTGACCTGCAGACAGAGCGATGGATCGCTCCAAAACACCAGGCTTTCATCACCAAACAGAAGTGGGATCATAACAGAGCTCTGATAGCAGGGAAGAAGAACTACCTGACTCATGTGTGTCCTGAGTGGGTGAAGAAGTACTTGAACTACGGGAGGAGCTCTCTGATGAGAACCGGTAGGATCACATGACCTGATGTCCTTCCATGGACACGATGCTCATAAACCTTCTGTTGTTTCATAGCAACATGTCAGAGACACACAGAGACCCACTGTGTCTCCCACATTTCTCCCCCCTCACCTCCTTCTCTCCTTCACTGCACTCCCTCCCTCACTCCCCCCCTCACACCTGTCCCCACTCTGTCCCTCCATCCTCTTTGTCTCTGCTGTGTTTCTGTCCGTCTCACTGTCTCTTTACTCTCTCTCACACACTGTCCTCCTCCCCTTCCAATCCGTCTCCCCCCTCTTCATCTGTTTGTCTCCCTTCTTTAATCAATGAAACTTTAAAGACATTTCATTCTTTTAGTAAACTTAAATACACATAGTTGAGTGTTAAAGAGGCATTTTAAATACATCAAAGATGAATGATATTAATACACTAAATATCAGTAATAATAATAAAGATGTAACCTGTCCCTCTCTTCTGTCTCCAGAGCGTCCCTCGGTGTCTCTCCTCCAGAAGACTCCCTCCTCTCCAGTCAGCTGCCACGCTACAGGTTTCTACCCCGACAGAGCCGACCTCTTCTGGAGGAAAGATGGAGAGGAGCTCCATGAGGACGTGGACCTCGGAGAGATCCTCCCCAACCACGACGGGACCTTCCAGATGAGGGTTGACCTGAAACTGTCCTCCGTCCCTGCTGAAGACTGGAGGAGGTACGACTGTGTGTTCCAGCTGTCTGGTGTGGACGAGGACATCGTCACCAAACTGGACAAGACCAGGACCAACAGGGGTAGGTCTGAGACCCGGAGCGGTGAAGGAGGGAAGCAAACATCCACTTTGTCCACTTTGTGTGTTTTAGATTTGGGAAGTTTTGTTTTCTTACATTTCTAGTCTAGTTTTTATTTGTAGTCATTTTAAGACTCGGATCAGAATTAAACACAGCGAGAGTTATGAACACTGTTTACTGGTCTAGATTAATATATAAATGTGTCAATATTTGGTTCATTTCTCTGTAAATACGTTTATTCATCCTTTTGTAAACTCATTCCAGGTAAGAGCTTTATTTGAGTCCATGCTGAACTATTGTAACGTGTCACCACAATTCAGACGTTGTAGAATCTGCATTCACACAACTACTGGTCACTTAAAGATGAGTAGACAGAATGATTAAACACGTGTATTAATACATGTATCCATCAGTGAATCAGACAGAGCAAAGTTCAGGAAGGAGGTTGAATATGTGTCTCAGTCATCATGTGCAGACGGCATAAAGAAATGACGTCACATGGTGTGTGTGTTCAGGTCTGCTGGATAAGTGGATCTTCTTCTCTTCTGACCTGCTTCATCTGTTCAGCTTGAGACTCTTTGATTGTTTTGTGCTCCACAGAGAAGCCTGCTGCCTCCACCTTCATCATCATCATCATCATCGCTGTGGCTGTTCTTGTCGTCATCATCGCTGCTGTGGTTGGATTCAAGGTTTACAGAAAGAGGAACGGTGAGAGAGACGATCAGAGACACAGTGTTGAGGAGCATTTGATTTTTGGCTTTGAGTTGATGCTTTTATCCAGAATGAGACACTGAAGCAACTTTCACCAGTCACACTTATAAAACAATATTTGCTTTTATTCTGCATTTATTGTTTAGTGACATTTTACTTTTAGACAATTCTGTGATTGTTTTGCACTTGAGACACTTAAACGTAGTTAATTGTTTCTTCAGGCTGTTGTTGAAAGTCATTTTAGCTTTTAGAGGAAGAAATAGGTTAAAAAACTGAGATTGTATCTGCTGGGAGGAAGCTGTTAGAACACTAAACACTAAAATTCTCTTTGCTTTTTATTTCAGAAAATATAATTTAGCAAACGACCTTCTTCTTCTTCTACTGTCGTCTCTGACGGCTCTGAGGAACTGAACCCTAAACCTTGAAGTCGGCGTCCTGCACACAGTGAGTAGCTCCACGTGGACATGAACTATTCACAGCTGCTGTTCCACAAAGCTGCCCTCAGTATGAGCACAAGGAGCTTCTCATGTAAAGAAGTCTTTGACCTTTTCTACAACAAAGGTGCAGTTTGGTTCCGTGAGACGTGAGATTATTAAGAGAAAGACACAGAAAGCTTCACATCAGCTCCTCAGATAAAGTCTGATATTCAAAGCTCTTACATTAACTTCTAGGAACTCACTAACACATGTTTATCAAAATGGAGTCAAAGTAGTTTGTGGTAAATGATTTAGTTTTCTCTTTTATGTATTTGTTTCTCTCTTTAGGTTTATGGGTGAATGTTGCTCTGGATCAACAAGCGATGCTCCACATTCTTCTCCATAAACTGTCAATTTATGGCTCATCTTTCATTTAAACGTCTGAATCAGGGTTGGTGAACATCTGGAAACTGTGAGGAAACATCAATAGTCACATTTAATTATTTGGATAGTTTGGTTTTAATAAAAAGGTTGAAATGAAATAAAACTAGGATGATTATTTTAGGAGACGTTCAAATCAATGAAAGCATCAAAGTGCTCACAGACTAGTGTGTTCATCTCAAACAAATCCACCATATTTACTCTTTGATACTTCTGCTGTTTGGGTTGAATCATTGTTGGTAACAAACATGTAAACACACACACACACACACACACATGTTGGGTTCCGTCACTGAGGAAACACTGCAAACACATCAGCGACATCCAGACACTCTGTGAGCTGGTTGTCTGTCTGTCTGCGTCTCATGCTGGTGAGAAACTGGCTTCCAGCTCTCTGTGTGGACGGGGAGGGAGTCCATCCCCAACACACACACACACACACACACACACAAAATATTGACATTAAAACAACATTTACTTTCTGATTGTGTAAATAGTTTGCTTGTATTTTTCTTTACAGTAGATTGAATTTAACAGGTTGAAGAAACTAATAATTTGAGGGTTCTATGAATAAATCAGTATGTTTATTGTTTGATAATGTCTTTTGATCACTTTTAAAGTATCATATTATTTAAATTTGGGATGTTTTCCTTCTTGGTTTCGTGGGAGTTGAACAGTGATGCTCTGAATCACTTCTTGTTTTGTAGATGAAGGTGGAATGAAGTTGCTCCATTTCCCCTTTTTGTACCTTTGTCCTGCTGTTCAATAAATGCTCCAGATGTTTGTGTGTTGTTGTGATTCCATGTGCTTCCCCTCTGTGACTGCAGCCACAATCACATGCATGTTGTTTCCCTTTGGACTCTAAACGTCGTGTTCTTCACTTCACTGGTTTAAAGCATGCTGGGAGTTGCTGCAAATGGAAGACTCACATCGCCTGAGATCATTTTATCGTAACAAAATAACATTTGTAAATCCTGCGTCTTATCAGCACATGTTGTGGTCGTAGTATCTACAATGATCTGAATATTCAGTGTTCTCTGTTGTCTCTGAGGATAAATGGACGAGTCTTTGACCTGCAGACGTCCAACAAAAGAGCAAGAAGAGTGAACATTTTAGGGGCAAAGCAGTGATTCTTCACAGATATCTGAAGAGGCTTTTACTTTCCATCAAACAAGAAAACATGAGACGCATTGATTAAGACCGTCCTCATCAACACGTGTGTAAAATGATTGAACAGCATTGAGGGTCGACGGTGGCGCATGTGTAGAGCGGGAGCACCGGAACGAGCCCCGGCTGCTCCATGTGGAAGTACAACACACACAACCCGTAATTACTCACCGGGATGTAAAAAAAGACATGGGTTGAAAATGTAAGTGTCAGCTAAATGATGTATAATGTAACAGGACATTTATTAAAGAACACTAGAAGTAGGAGCAGAGTTGAAACAAAATTCTTTATTTCATTACTGCTGGATTTCTGTGACCTTTAAAGTTGAACTTAAGTGAAAGAAAACAAACATCCTCACAGACCTGTGAAGATTAAGGCGGTTAACCTTTTTTCATACAGACCGATATACTTCATTTATCAAAAGCTATGTGTTGTTGTTCTGCATGGAAACAGATGACATCACAGCCGTTCTCACAATGATGTCATTGTTCTGTTATATATTAAACTATAAATATGTAATCAACCTAAATATATACACGTACAAGTTGCCTTAAGTGATGTGACCCAGTTCATTTAATAATAATATGTATTTAATAGTCAGACTGTCACCAGTTATCAGGAACACGAGAGCTTTGAACATTTCACCCAACAGGTTTAGTTCTGGAAAGATTTGACACTTCTGTATGTTTTAGTCACATTTCACACCATAATAAAACAAAAATGATGTCACCACCTCACCAAGCATCTAAAATGATTTTTCATAGCTTTAATATTTATTTGAAAAAAGATTTATGTTACTTGGACAACAGGATTTATTTGAAAGAAATAACGTGGTTGACAGTAAAAGGACTGAAAAACTGAAAAAGAAAGAATAAAAATCCTTTAATCTAAATATCTTCATTGTCATCGACATGTGACCACCTGACTCATTTGTCCTCATGGTTAGTTCATGTCAATCATTACAGGACAGCAGGGAGCTGAGCAACAGGCTTTATTTGGGACTGTGTGTTGTTTTGGTGAAAGTATTTTAACAGCATGTCTGGTTAACAAAGAACAAACTACTACACAGAAGCACGTGAGGATCAACACACACAGAACCTGCATTACATCACTAAGAACAAACAGCAAACAATGAGCTCAGCAGCTTAGAGACAGTTTGGTTCTGTAGAGTTCAGGTTCATGTGTAAGGAAAGAAACGTTTCTACAGCATTTCTCTGCTGTGAGACGTCAGTGGGATCATTTCCAAAATCACTATTAGAAAAGTGGACAAAGAATCTTTTGGGAAGAAACGCATCATCAGTCGTGTTCAGAGTGCTGAGCATTCAGAACATTCCCTTCCTGTAGCGGTGGATCAACTCGGATACGTCGTCCTTACACACCTTTATCCAGCCGTCCTGCTGCATGTGGTACACTACACACACACACACACACACACACACACACACACACACACACACACACACACACACACACACGTAAGGACACAGAGGTTTCCAGTGGCCACAGACCATGACTACAAACATTGCATGACTCTATTCCCGTATTTCTGATGCATCTCTTGTGAGGTCTCAGTAGAGACGGAGACGAGAACGACATCAAACACGTTTCAGTTTCTAGATCGACTCATCGGCATGAGGTTGTTTTTGTTTAATTAGGTTAATTTATTATATTTCTTATATTACCTACTTTATCATTGAACACAAAATGTTATACGATTTATTTCAAAACAGAAACTTACAGTATATTTATTTTGTAACATTGAGGAACCATAGAGGATCGTTGCTGTTTCCATGTTAGGTTGAAACCTTCAGTCAGTTGTACATAATATATTTTACAAGCAAAAATGCCCCATAAATGCTCTTGACACAGAATCGAGGAAATACTTAATTTGCAGTGAAAATAAAGGTAAATTGTTGTCCAACTGCTGTTAAAAAAAATAATGAACAGATGATTAAAGGGCCTTTGTGGAAAGTTTATGTAAGAATAGATGTAGTTTAATTTATAGTTAAAGAGCAAAATGCTGCAGACCTCACTGATCAATAATGATTGAGGGATTCCCCTTCGGTTATTTCATTTAATTATCATCACTGTTATTTATCTTTTTATTCTCGCTTGAAAGTCCGTCAATTTCCATGTTTCCAAAGAGCAAACAAATGACGTGCAAATGTTCTTAGTTTTGAGGTAATTGGTCGTAAAACTAAAGGACAAGTTGACATTTTGACCCTTTGATGTTGACACATGAAAGGTCACATGATCACCAAAGGGACACAACTAGTCCTGAAATGTCCCGGCAACCCGTCCAATAGTGGAGACTCCAGTCTGGACCAAAGAGAAGTGACGGAGACAACGTGGGACGGGTGTTGTTGGCTGGTGGATGTAAACCGGCGTGTACTCACTGTTGACCGCCCCTCCAGAGTAGGCGTCCCTGTGTGTGGCGTGAGCGATGCCCCGGCGGCCCAGCTCGTACGCCTCCTCCACCGCCATGTCCTCCCTGTAGCCGCTGTCCACCACGCCGTAGGCGTAGCTGCTCCCACAGCCGGTGGAGAACATGCGGCCGGACAGACGCGTCCCTCGGTCGTCCACGTAGTACAGACCGGGACCCTGGAGACACAAAGACACCCGATGGTCTGCTGGGAAATCAGCATCTCAGACACAGCAGCTGTTCCTGAGTCACGGAACACAAGCTGCTGATGATATTTGACCAACACCAGATTTAGTAAATGGTCATTTTGGGTCATATTTTAAAGGTTTAAATGAGCTGCTCTCTCCTCCTTCTTACAGATGTTATAGGCTACTTTAATGGATGCATTTAGAGGCACATGCCAGCAGGTGGTTTCTGTATTCACGTGTCATACTGACATGTAGTGGATATTTGTTTGTGTGTAAGTGATTCCTTCTTACTGTCACTAACATTGTGTGATAGGACCTGTCCATGGTGGCTCTGCTCCCTGAGAGCCCCTTCCAGTCCCCACATGTCACATGTGTTAATCCATGCAAACCTTTTCCACAGCATCAACCCTCCTCCCTGTTTGGATCACCTTTGTTTACTTGCTGGGCAGGTTTAGTGATGGAGGTCATGCAGAGGATTCAGTATTGATTTGATCATATCCAGTGAAAAGCTCCTCACAGTAACTTGTTAAATTAAGGATTCAAACCGGCAAAGAAAAGCCAACCGGTTCGATGCCGTAGGTCCAAAACTAAAAGTGGGCCTGTTGAACTAGCTACTTCACATGTTAACAAGTGACTGTAAAGTTTCTACAATGATGAAGGCAGTTTGAATATAAATAAAGCACCAGGAGCATAAAACATCCACGTTAAACATTCTGCCTCAGAAAACAACCTCACAATCCTCTAGTGCAGCGAGGACGTTTCTATTTCTAGGCTCTGCTTCACAGGAAGTGGAAGAAAAAGGATTCTCCTTTGTTTTGGCACAGAGACTCAAAGGCACAGCTCACCTCTTTGTCCCATCCACAGATCATGCTTCCCATAGAGAGGCCCATGCCTCTGTAGCCCAGCATCATGTTGCACAGCAGCTTGGAGGCAGCAGCCACAGAGATCCTGTGGTTGCTCCTCAGCCTGTACAGCCTGGAGGGACCAAGTCACCGAACAAATGAAACATCAATCAGGGTTGTTTCCAGGGTCGACCTGTCACCTTTCATTTTACATGCATGTCCGTCCAAAATATCACCACTGCATCATTTCACCGTTACACATTTGTGTGTTGTTATCTTTTGCTCTGGATACTTGATTAAAGTTGTTTTGTGAGGTCAGTGATCAGTTAAGTCTTGAGTCCAAGTGGACCTTTGTGTCTGATTTGAAATTCAACAACGAACAACAAATTCATGATGAAATGACTACGGCTAAATTCATATTAAAATAATGTAGTCATTTGGTTTTAATTTGTGTTTTGATGCGTAACACTACACGTGCTGTAACATGCAGCACTCATGTCTTCACACACACTCATGTCTTCACACACTCATGGAGGCCTCAGACGGCTCGTGTGGGGTTTAAAGTCTCAGTCCTTCTAACCACTGAACCTCTTTGCTCCACTCAAACCAACTAAATGAGATCAGAGCGTTCTCCGGTTTCTTTCCCAGACCAGATACTTTACTCACCTCTGCATGGAACACATTTTAGTATCAATACACAGACACACAGAGCATTACATGTCAGAATGGACACATTGATGTTCAAAGCACTGCAGACGGACCTGCATTCTGAAGGCCAGGGTGGTCGTCCCGTGGTTCAGGTCTATACTCACACCACCATCACGGCTGCAGGTTCCTAGAAACCCTGAAGGCTAAAATAGAAGCAAAGAGGAGATCTCAGTGGGTGGAATCACGCGTGTAGGTGCAGTGTGTGTCTATGTGTGTTATTCCACAGTAACGTGTAAGATGAATGCATCATTTGAAGCTGCAGGAGAAGCGAACGCGACCACAGACGCGTAAAAGACGTTGAACCACCGCGTCACGCGTCACGCTTGTTGCATCAGGATCACCTGATACGATGCAGACTTTTCATTTTGTAGCAAAACTCGGTGAAATGAGACTCACGTCTACACCCAGAGGGACAGCAAATTCCTGCGTTTTGGTCCCGAAGTTGTAGTGGTTGGTTCGGTCGAAGAGATGCGTCTGTCTGGCTGGAAGAATCTGCTCACGGAGTTCAGCATAAGACTTCAAACCAGATACTTGGAAAAGAGCCATTATGTATTCGACTATATTCTAATTATATTCTGCTCTTTAAGTTTAACGAAATGACGAAAATCTCTGAAGAAGCGTCACGGATAACTTCCTGGGAAGGGACAATGAATTCGAAAGCGAAAGGTTTTAAAAGCTGTTTTATTGTAAATAAATGCTAAAAGAGCCAGCTAGCTACATAAAACCAACAAGTATACACGAATACGTTCATCTGGTCATCATATAACTTATAACCTGATTTGATCGAAACAAATAAAAGAAAACTGTGGTTAGAATCGTGCTGTTAATAAAAACAACGCAGATCGCATCGACCAATAGGAGAGCACTGTGTGTGTCGTCATCAGTCACTAAGCGAGAAGCAGCAATCAGGTTTGCAGAAAAGCAGAGGTCAATGACGTCATCAAAGCGTGTTTCTAAATTCAACAATACACTGTATCTACTGTAGTCGGGTTAATGGAGTATTACCGCATATATATGGCTTGAAAATATATTATATATATATATATATATATATAGCTGCAATATTAAATTGAACTGTATCTACTCCAGTCAAGTTGATGAAGTATTGACATATTGTCACGATTTGGGTTTTTATTTTGTAGTTTCATGCCTCTGGTGTTCCTTAACTTCACTTCCTGCCTTGTCCTGTCATCCCTGTTGTTTTCTGCCGTGTCCATGCTTGTTTCCACCTGCATCACCTGCACCTTCCCCGTGTATTTAAGACACGTGTGTCTCTTGTCCCTTGTGGTGTCATTGAATGTTTTGGACGTTCTGCTCGTCTGTCGTCATCTTGCCTTGAGTTCCCGGTCCATGTCTGCCCTTTTGTGTCCATGTTTTTCCCTTGGCCCTGCTTTAATCTTAATATTACATTCAGTAAATAATTGCATAATATGTAAATGGAGTGTAATAGAATTCAAACACGCAATCAATGCGGGTTCTAAATTCATATTTATAACAATACACTGTATCTACTGTAGTCGGGTTGATGGGGTATTAGTATATATAAATGCACTCATTTAGGCTTGAAATATTACATGTATATTACATTCAGTAGATAATTTCAAAATACGAAAATAAACAGTAACAGGGATGGAATAGAATTTCATTCAATTTGAATTTTTATTTTATTTGATAGTTTTTTCATCTGAGACACATGAAACATTTTCATGTGTCACCTCACAGTGAAGAATAGAAACCATGACAATGTTCATTAAATGATTTTCACTGCTTGCATTTTATTTTTTAAGTGCATGACCAAGCAACATAATAAAAGCCTTCACACTTTTCTGCTAAACGTGTTGTTATAAGGTGTGACTGCATCGCGGATCAGGCTGTATCCATCCGCTGCACAGTCTCCTCTACAACCTCCAGCTTTACAGGGACTACTTTCTCCGTCAGAACCGCTGTTGTGCCTGCACCATATTTGTATTTTGTTTTCCTAGAATAGAAGAATAGATGGTTAGAGGGATTCAATAACTGAAAAGCAAACATGTTATTGTATAATCACATACAGTCTGATATCTACCGCTCTGAGAGGGAAACCTTTAAAGTCGCAGTGTGTAGTTAGAGGTATTTATGAAGAAAGTAAATGTAATATTCATAGCATGTTCTCACTGAAGTATAATCACCTGAAGCTAAGAATCATGTGTTTCCTTAAGCTCTGAATGAGCCCTTCATATCTACAGGAGCGGCTGCTCTTCATGGAGCTCCATGAGCAGCCATGTTTCTACAGACTGAATACTGGCTCTAGAGAGCCGTCCTTGTTTTACATCATTTGACTCACTTGGAAAGGAAGGGAAACAATCTGCAGCCTCATCACCAGAGACTGAGTCCTGCACACAGCTCCTTTAAGAATCGACCCATGCAGCAGAACTCAGTCACACTCGTACCTTTTGTCTTTGTACTGTGACACCTGGTACGGTCTGATGTAGTCCACTCCTTCTCTGGTGAGGACACAGATGTCGATGTTGTTGCCTGAGGCGAGGTCATTCATGACTCCCGCGTGGATGGCGGCACGCACCAGCTCCTTCGCCTTGTCCAGCTGAGAGTTACAAGAATTCAGGGAAATGACAGAGAGAAATTCCTCAAATACCAGTTTTTATATTTTGTCATCCAATAGTGACAGAAATGCACAGTGTGTAACAACAGCTGTCCAGGAGGCGTACCTCCAGGTCGGGTTTGTACCCGTCCTCTAGAATCCCCAGAGCAGCCAGATCCCCAGAGCCTGCAGGAGGAAACAGACATGTGTGTAGCGGCCGAACGCCACTTCCTGTGTGTGAGTGTTGGTACTTTATTTTGAAATGTAATTAGCAGCAGAATCACGTGGGCAGGGGTGCAGTGGTTTATGAATGAGTGTAGGCACCCTGGCAGAGGGATGGTTGTATGGACATGGGGGTGAGTCGGGAGACGATACTTTTTGTTGACCGTATCCTACAGCGCACTTTATTGCATCGGCGCACATCGTGTATCGCTTCGCCCGCTTGGATGTGTTTTTAACTTAATAAAAACAATGAACTTCACAGGAGGAATCAGCGTCTGTTTGGAACGAGTCCACAGCAATCTCCCGTACTTAGCCTCACGTGACTCTACCGGATTGCAGTCACCACATTTGTCAACAAAAAAGTAAACAAATAAGTGATCAGTTGCATACAACAAACGCGCAGTCTTTATCACGGATTCCCGTCGGATTCCGGGGTTATGGATCCGAAGAAGAAAGCTGGATTACATCGCGACAGAGATCCTTACCGAGCCACGGATTCATCCCAACGCGAACAGCCACGGTAGGCACGCAAAATCCCCACTCTCATTCATGCTGCGTTTGGAAAGTTTGACGGTTTGCGGGTGTCCATTGGGGATCGCCGTCTTTCCGGGTGACGTTCGCCTACATCGACTGTTGAATTGTTTGGCTCGGCAGTGCGGAATCGGATGTTGAATCCCGTTTGGAAACGTGAATTTAATTGAACGCTATTGACTCGTTGGTGCACTGTGAAAACTTGAACTGTCGAACTTGAAGGCACAATGAGCGAAACACATGATCGCGATGTGAATAATGTTTCCGAAACAATGGAAAAACGAGAAGTCAAACTAACTGCAAAGGCTTTGGCAATAAAAATTGAAAAACTTCAAAAGGAGCGAAAGGTGCTCGTAGATAAAATCAAAGCGCTAATTCCTGCTATAAAAGAGCTTATGAAAAGAAAGGAAAATGTACATCAGGTGCAACAACAAATACAAACCCTTACTCAGCTCCACCACACGACCATTGAGCTACATAAGTCATTAATCCCTTTGCTACCCGAAAGCGAACAAATTTTACAAAAGGAATGGTTCTTAAGCATCGAGAGTTACACCAACGTTTTCAAGGACAATGTTACCCAATGGCTGAGTGAAACTACTGTGAACTTGGATGGAAACGACTTTGATGGCTCAAACAAAGATGTGCCTGACTCTGATATGCACGCCCCACAAGCACCAGCAAAGGCAGTTTCCATGCAGGGAGATCCACAGGATTGTGTGAATCCATCTGACAGCATATCCAACGTGGGCAGCAGAGCCACGGCCAGAAGCTCTCAAAGGTCATCTATATCAAGCATTTCTTCTGCTCGCATAAATGCTGAAGCTGACCTGGCAGCACTAATGGCACGACAAGGACTTCTGAAGGACAGACATGCGCTTGAGGAGGAAGAGGAAAGGATACGAAAAGGAAAAGAGAGACTCAAGATGGACGAGGAAATTGCTGCACACATGGCTAAAGTGAGCGTGCTAAGGGCAGCAAGCATGACCGGTTCTAAAGGCAGCGCAAGACAATACGACAACATGAATCCTTACTTTGGTGAAGCACAAACACAGTCAATGCAGCAGAGAGCCGATGCTGCTACATTTGTTCCTCAGACGTTGGCAGTACCTAAGAGGGACGAGCAAGTCACAAATAGCATCAGCGATCCAGCCACAAGAGCTAAGGTCAGAATGGCCACCCAAAGTTCACATGTTCAACTTTGTACTTCTCAGCACCATATGCACGAGCATGGAACCACTTTTAGCAACGAAGGTCCTTTAGGCCAAAGTGGTCAAAACAAGGTTATTGAAATTATGAAAAGGCAAAATGAAATAACCACCTTGCTGGTACAGCAACAACAAATGGCATCGCTACCCAAAAGAGATCTGCAGGCTTTCGATGGCAACCCATTACAGTTTCACACTTTTATAAGAGCTTTTGAGAACGGTGTCGAAAGCAAGTCGAGCAATTGCAGTGATCGCCTGTATTTCCTTGAACAGTTCACTAGAGGTCGCCCAAGGGAACTTGTACGAAGTTGTCAGCATGTTGACCCTGAAAGGGGTTATGCTCAGGCTAAGGCTTTGCTACAGGAACACTTCGGTAATGAGCAAATAATTGCCACTGCTTATATGAACCAAGTTCTGTCATGGGCCCCAATAAGATCTGAAGATGTTAATGCATTACAGGATTACGGTTTGTTTCTTCGAAGCTGTAGCAACGTGATGAATGGCGTACAGTATATGTATGAACTGGATATGCCCGCTAATATGCTCACAATAGTAAAGAAACTGCCATACAAGCTTCGGGATTGCTGGAGAACGGTAGCCTGCGAGATACAAGAGAGCCGTAACCAAAGGGCCACATTCAGCGACATTGTTAATTTCGTTGAAAGGCAAGTTAGAATTCTAACACACCCAGTGTTCGGGAATATCCAAGACCCAGCGCCAGCATTAAGTAAAAGTACGAATCGAACCATCTCTAAACCCAAAGGAAGTATTTTCGCTACAACTGCGACCACGGTGGAAAATAGGAATATTGGAACACGGGAATGGAAACGCTACACTGCCTTACCCATCAAAGATTGTCTGTTTTGCGAAGGTGAACACACTCTAGAGTCATGCCCTCACCTGGAAGAGAAGACTCGCACCGAAAAGATCACATTCTTAAAAGAAAATGGTGTTTGCTTTGCCTGTTTATGTACAGGACATATCAGCAAAGATTGTCAAAAACGGTTGACATGCCAAGCGTGTTGTATGAAGCACCCCACAATGCTTCATATTCAGTTTAAGGAGAAGCAAGCAAAATCTGAAACTGAACAAGAGCCAGGCACGGCAGTGGGCAGGGCCTTAATGTCCAACGGCCTCACTGGGGCTGGTGAGGAAGAATGTAAACTTCCCATAGTCCCAGTACAGGTTAAGTCTAGAAAAGGTAATAAGACAGTGCTCACTTATGCTTTCCTAGATCAAGGAAGCACTGCCGTTTTCTGCACTGAGAACTTAATGAATAGGCTTAATCTCACAGGAAAGAAAACTCGTATCCTTTTACGTACTATGGGTCAAGAGAAGGTCATGAACACCCAATTAGTCACAGGTCTCAAGGTGGCTGGTCTGGATGGTGAGATATTTTGCGAATTGCCAAGTACTTTCACTCAGGAGAGTATGCCCGTCAATAAGGGAAATATTCCACGTCGACAGGATCTTCAGAGATGGCCTCACTTGCGACATGTTCATCTGCCAGAGATTGACGCAGAAATCGAGCTGCTAATAGGAACAAACGTGCCAAAGGCCTTGGAACCATTAGAAGTGATCCGTAGCGTGAACGATGGACCTTATGCCATCAAAACAATTCTAGGGTGGACTGTTAATGGACCATTGGTAGGAGACAGCAGCGACGCATTTGACATTGTCACAGTCAATAGAGTTTCAGTTTCAAACTTGGATAAGCTCTGGCAGCAACAGTTTAAAACTGATTTCCCAGAATGCAGCCACGAGGAGCAACCTGCTTTGTCAAGGGAAGACCAAAAATTCATGAAGCTGGTTAGAAATTCAGCGAGCCTTGTGAATGGACATTACCAGATCGCATTGCCCCTGAGAGAATGCAAATTAAACATGCCAAACAACAGAGAAGTCGCAGAGCAGCGCACTCTAAACCTTCAAAGGAGGTTCAAGAGAGATGTGTCTTTCCGACAGCAGTATGCAGACTTTATGGACAATCTTGTCTCCAAAGGATATGCTGAGCGAGTACCTACGGAGGAACTGGCTCGTGAGGATGGGAGATTGTGGTATATCCCCCACCATGGTGTCTACCACCCTCGAAAAGGGACGATGCGGGTGGTGTTCGACTGCGGAGCACCTTTCCAGATGACGTCTCTCAATGATCAGCTCCTGCAGGGACCAGATCTCACCAGCTCATTGATAAGCGTCGTGACCAGATTCAGAAAGGAACCAGTGATAATCTTGGCAGACATAGAGTCCATGTTCCATCAAGTGAGAGTACCAGCCGAAGACATGGATTTGCTGAGGTTTCTCTGGTGGCCCGATGGTGACTTTGTACAAGAACTGGCGGACTTCAGAATGAAGGTGCATCTCTTTGGTGCAACTTCATCACCAAGTTGTGCTAATTTTGCACTTAGAAAATGTGCCGAGGACAATGAAGGGCAGTTCAGCCGGGAAGCTATCGAGAAGGTTTTACATTGTTTCTATGTGGATGATTGCCTCGTAGCCACAGCCACCGAGAAAGAAGCTGTGGCACTCCAGCACGATCTGGTGTCCATCTGTTCCAAAGGCGGCTTTAAGTTGACTAAATGGACGAGTAATCGACATGCCGTGATTACAGCAATACCAGAAGATCAAAGGGCAAAAGATATGAAGGACTTGGACTTGGAACAGGACACACTTCCCGTGGAAAGGGTATTGGGGGTACAATTTTGCCTTCAGTCAGATACCTTTAAGTTTAAGATCACGGTGCAACAAAAACCTCTGACAAGAAGGGGTATCCTCTCTGTCATAAGTTCAATTTATGATCCTTTGGGAATTTTGAGTCCCGTCGTCCTTACTGCCAAGATCATCCTGCAACAGCTGTGTAGAAAAGAACTTGGTTGGGACGAGCCTATACCACCCTCCGCTGCACAGGAATGGACACAATGGTTGGAGGAACTCAGTCAGTTGGAAGACTTCCAGATCCCTAGGTGCCTAAAACCATTAGACTTTGGAGAAGTCATCGCAGCACAATTGCATCACTTTACAGATGCAAGTGAAGACGGTTATGGTGTTGTGACCTATCTGCTCTCGCAAAACGCACAGTCCCTGGTGCACAGCGCCTTCGTCATGGGAAAATCCAGGGTAGCGCCATTGAAGTCAGTTTCGATACCTCGTATGGAGCTTACGGCTGCTACCATGGCAAGCCGCATGGACACGTTTTTGAAAAGGGAATTACATATGAGGCTTCAGCCATCACTGTTTTGGACAGATAGCACGTCGGTGCTAAAGTACATAAGGAATGAAACATCAAGGTTCCGTACCTTTGTGGCCAATAGAGTATCAGAAATCCTTAAAGCGTCTCAGGCATCTCAATGGAGGTACGTAAGTACCACGAGCAATCCTGCAGATGTGGCTTCCAGAGGGTTGAAGGTAGATGCGTTCCTCAAGAATAAGACCTGGCCGTCAGGACCAGAGTATCTGCTACACCCCGAACAGGACTGGCCTGCGAATCCAGATCGTTCAAGTGAACTCCTACCAGATGATCCAGAGGTCAAGGTTAGCGTTACAGTGAATGCCATGCAAGGGTCAGAGGTGGACGCCACCACTCGCTTAATGAATCACTTCTCCTCTTGGACCCATCTGAAAAGGGCTGTGGCTTGGATCCTCAGGTTTAAGAATCTGCTCGTGTCCCTCAGCCAGAAAACGAGGCAGCTGAACTTGAGTAAGCAACAGCACCTTTCCTCAGAGCATAAAGCGGAGGTGATCAAAGCCCTGGCCTGTAGCAGTTTG